CCTTAAAATTACATTAAATTTAGGTGAATAAGTTTGACCTTATTGAGAAAGTGCAAAGTTTATTTTTTGAAGATAATGAATTTAAAATCAAGCACGTTGTTATAAATACTTTTTTTATTTTTTTATTAAAAAGCAATATTGGTCAGCTTTTAGCTCCATGCATTAGGCACCAATTTGTTTTTGGCCCATAGATGCGGTGGAAGGAAAGGCATTTTAGCATTAGTCTAGCATTAAGCATATCACCTATAATGGCATGTTCACAGCTGCAGAAAATTGAGCGAGGTCTGCTGAGGGGGAGCCTGAGCCGGTGCAGGCAGGACGCTGGTAATAGGCTGTCTGTGCTTAGTGGATGATGCGGGCTTCAGTGAGGCCACAGAGCCAGAGAAATAGAGTTCTAATGGAATATCCAAAGGTGTTCAATGACAGTTAACCTTTCCAGATAATGATTAAGGTCACACGGAATGTGTATTGCCTTTAGATAGGATTTAGTCAGCAATGAAGATATATGTGGGACATGAATTTTGTATGGGCTGGAAATACTCCAGTCCCACTGCACTTTAGTGGCAACAGGGATGTTATTCCTGGTCAAGGTCAGTGGATTTGGGGCAGAGGGAAACTCCTTGCCCTGAATCCATGCTCATTAACATTTTGATCTTGGGTTAAACACTTAAGTTACATGTGAAACAGCCCGTTCCCATCATAAACGGGTCCAGCTTCAAGTATTTAAACTGGCCGAGGACGAAAACATTGGCCTCTTGGAGCTACTTGAGCAACAGATGTCTGCTCACCTGCCAGCGTTGGTTACGCAAGCGCTACATCCTAATGCCTGCTCATGAAACCTTGATACAGTCTGGTCTAGTGGCATATTTATTGCCCTTCTTTCACCCCTCATTCTCATCATATTCTGATACATATTTATGGCTAATTCAGGCAAACAGCTGTTGCATTTGTTTATTGATTTTTGCACCCCCGTTGAAAGACGGATGTGTTACGGTTTAGTCCGTAGACTTTCTCTTGTCCCGCCTATAACGTCTAACCTGTTCAAGATCATTTAACGAAACTCAATAAACATATCATCACAGGATGGAGTGTCACTAACACTTTTCATCACCGCAGTTCCCAAGGTCACAAATCAAGGTCAATGTTCTAACAAGGTCTTTGCGTGTTTAGACCATAATTTCTGCTCCTCTCAAGATAATATAATGAAACTTGATATGAGTTTGTACCGCCACTACACCGCGTGTCGCATATTTTTTTCATCAACCCAGCTTCAAGGTCAAGGTCAAAAGTTATACAAGGTCTTTGCTTGTCCAGCCCGTTGCTATGTTGTATAATAGTTTGCTGGCAGGCGTGAATGCTGTACTCTTGTTAGTTGTGTGGAAGATCGACGTGTACGAAAAACAGCGTAAACTTGGGTAATGAGTTCTAAATTAAATACGTATAGTTGTTGATAGTCATCGAAGATTATGCTCAATAATCCAGGTAAAAAAATCCTACAAAGTTAACTCAGGTCCTCTGGATGTTTTTTTTGTTGTTGTTGAAACGTTTCGTCCTTCATCCAAAAGGACTTCATCAGTCCGAGTAGCCACAACAAACTCGGTCATCAACTTTGTTGCATTTGTTTTTTGTTTTTTTTATCTGGGTTATTGAGCATGAACTTTAATGTTTTGAATCACTATGGTTATGGCTGCATCAGAGAAGTTGACAGGGAGAGGGCGGACTCCAGTACCATTTTATCACCAAACTGGTTGGCTCACTATGTGAGTGTGCTACTCATGAGACAGTTTGTTGTGGCACCTCGGACTGTTGAAGTCCTTTGGATGAAGGATAAAACGTTTCAACTACGGATGCACGATATTATCGGCATGGTATTGTATCGGCCGATATTATCGTTAAAGTTAAATATCGGACATAAAAGGCACCGTTTTTGTATGACAACCCAGTGACAAGGATGCCTGCAGCACCAGCGCAACGTGATGACGTCACACGCGCCTACCTTATCTGATCACGGTGGAGAGGAAGAAGTCAAAATGTCGGCGTGTGGAAGTTTGTTTTTTTCATTCAGGATATCAGATTCCAAAGATTTTTGGACTACGTTGAGCCCTCCCTACATCGACCCCAGTATGAGAAATTTTTCCGACGTAGCCTTACCCGAGTTACAAGCCGTCATTTCCAACGTCATTGAGAAGCTAATAGCCGATAGCACTTGGGTGAGTTTTACCACAGACATTTGGACGTCGTGTTATCCCCGTTAGCATGATTAGTGTTATGGCACAATGGATAAACAAAACGTTGAACTTAAAAAGTCTGTCCTTCATGCACAAGAGTGCAGAGGATCCCACACTGCAGCTAGGAACCTGGAACAAGCCTCCACAAGTGAGACAGCATCGCAAGTGACTAATAAATAATATTTAACACTTTTCATTTAATATACATAAGTTAAAGTGTTATTCATATCATATGGCTGTTACTGAATATATGTCACCAGCTCTTACAGCTGTTTCACAATTTTTGTAACAAATAAGCCTAAATAAGAGGGCGGTGTTCTGGCAAAGGAAAATATATAAAAAAATATCTGTATCGTTTATCGGCCAAGTAAATTTTAATATATCGGCATATCGGTTATTGTCCAAAAATCCAATATCGTGCATTCCTAGTTTCAATAAAAAAATTAACCGTCCAGGTGACCTGACTGAACTTTGTTGGAGTTGTTGTCCAGATAATGTTTTCTCCCATGATTAAAGTTTAATTCAGTGTTTTATTTTTAGAAACAAGACTATTGTTCAACAGGCTCTTTCAGGAAATGACGGTAAATAAATGGTGGCTCAGGAAGTCTGTGAGTGACAATCATCATTTGCCTGTAAAAGCTTCATGCTACTTGAGTCAATAACAGTTTAGTTTGCGCAGCGTAAACGTGGATTAACCCAACAGTTGGTGTTCTCAACAAGATCTGTTCAATGAATCTTATGCATGTTCACATCTTCTTTACTTTGTAAATCTGCCAAAAGAGAAAGACCGAGCTTGTTGCTGATTTGTTTACGTGTGCTTGTGTTTTTGTGTGGCTTTGAGACGTTTCAGTCTTACATTTTCTGAGCTCATAATACAAACCGTATTTTCAAAAGGGTTGGAAAGGTGTCAGCATTGCAAAACAAAACACAATCTAGACTCTGAAGCTGAGCAATAAACGAGAAGGCTCCAAACAAACTCGGTACAATAAAAATTCCCTTCAGACTCAGCTTCAAAAGTCTAATTCCGTAAACTTTTCTTTTGTTTTCCAGAGTTTTCCTTCGAGCCATTAATCAGTACGCTGCAGTGCTGAACAAGAAATTTCTGGATCAAACCAACTTTGAGCTGCAGGTAAGCTAAGCACTGTTCCGAATAAAACAAGACTTGTAACATCTTAAACTGCTCTGCCTCGGCTCCACAGAGCTCAGAAACGATGTACTTTTAGCGAACACTGCATTAACATTTACATTTTGACAAACTGCGAGTAGAGAACATCATTTACTTTGTAATGGCAAGCAGTTTTATCCTCAATGTTGAATATTTTAACCTTTTCATTTTTGAATAGAGCAACGTCTTGATTTGTAAATGTCGAAACATGACAGAATGTTATCAACAACTAAACTCCTTCAAGCTTTTAAAGCCTTTATGGATTATGTAAATGTAGCTGTTTCTCTGTGACTAATGGCACTTAAAGCTGTTTTTTTAAAGGAAGCTTCTTTCAAATATACTTCAAAAATGTGTATTATTATAATAGTAATGTCTTATTTCATATGTATACATGGATTATTTCCACAGCAGTGGTTAGAAAGGGTCTGTAGATTTGCTTTAGCTCCTGTCATTGTCTGATTGAGAGTGTGCTGTAGATGACATTGGCCTGAATCAACAACCACTTCATCCACTTGGACAGCTTCCCGGCAAAAAAACAACTGTAACCATCTCATCCAAAGCTTTTGATTTAATGAAACCATAAAGCTTTCCTGCCCACACTGTCTAGCGCTGACTAAGATTGTTGTAAAACGAGCTTTGAGCTGCGAGTTAAATAATCTCCTGTACCCTCCCCTCTGCACTCACTGTCTGTCTCCCTGACTTTATCTGGATCAGCTGTGGAACAACTACTTTCACTTGGCCGTGGCCTTCCTCACCCAGGAGTCGCTGCAGCTGGAGAACTTCTCAAGCGACAAAAGGACCAAGATCTTTCAAAAGTGAGTTTGAGCGCAGGTCATTCTGGTTTAAAGTTCCCTCCCCAGGTTAAGTCTCACAGGGACGTCAAATGACCTGCGGCTTCTAGGGAGGCTTCTTTTGTTGTTTTCCTCTAAACAAAGCATGGAGCCTCAAATATCTGAAGTTGTTCTGAACCCTTTCTTAAATTTCAGGCTTACGACTGTAAAGGGATTTTTCTTTTAAAGTTTTGTAGAAATATTATGAAGGGATTCACAATATTATCGGCATGGTATCGGTATTGGCTGATATTAGCAATAAAGTTAAACATCAGCCATTCCATCAAAATAATTCACAGATATGAAAGTTGCTGTTTATATATATATATATATATATATATATATATATATATATACTCATTCTGTGCTCGAACCTGCAGGCTCGGGGTTGCAAGACCATGACACAGACTACTGATTTACTGCAACTCCTTAATATTACTAATCATTAACATTTAATATAGTTAGTATTAGTTATAGGCAGCTTCTGAACAACCTATATACGGAGGAACAAAGTTAATATGTAACTGTATTGATGAGCTAATGGCTAGTCGGCGCAAGGCCACAGCCAAAATATAATACAGTCATCTTAAAACAACTCTAATCTTAAATATTTTTACAGCACTTTGTATAAATATGTTTATGTAACAGATAATTTGAAGTGGGACCAAATTTTCACAGTCAGCTGGTTCTTGTCTGGCTGGTTTGAGCATATTTCACCAGTTTGCCCTCCATTCACCGGCTCCCTGTGCATGTCAGAATTGATTTTAAATTATCCTACTAACCTTTAAGTGCATAAATGGCCTTGCACCCTCATACCTCTCTGACATACTTCAACCGTATGTTCCTTCTCGGGCGCTGAGATCATCAGACCAGCTGCTTTTGGTTGTACCAAAAACCAGTTTGAAGCTTAGCGGAGATGGGGCTTTTTCAGTCATGGGCCCTAAACTTTGGAACAATCTACTATGTATATATGATTTGATTTACTACAGTATTTTATTATTTTTCTTTGCTTTAGTGTTTTTATTTTTGATGCTTTTAATTGCATCTTATTTTTCTTTACTGCCTTGATCTCATTATTAAGCACTTTGGTAACAGCTGCTGTTTTAAATGTGCTTTATAAATAAACACCTTGACTTGTCAAACTCGAGGCCCTTATTAACATCTTAATGGCCCCCGATGAAGATATTTTAAATGTAAAATATTTTTATCACTTCTCACTTTTCTTGAAAACCTGAGCATACTTCATTAACCTCCTAAGACCCGAACTGTTGCACATGTGGATGCCAGGTTTTAGGAGGTTAAGTGGTAACATCTCGTGACAGTTGGCCATCTTTGAAGCCAGACAAAAGGTTGGATTTTTTTGTAGTCTTTGATTTTGACATGGGAGACAACAGAGAACATCAAGTGAGACCAACTAAACTCCTGTTGATGAACCTGCAACTAAAGAGGATATCGGGTATCTGAATTTGGGTTAATGTATCAACTGAAATGGGCCCATATCTTGGACCAAGTCTTTAATTTTGACCTCTTTTGTAATTGAGTTTGACACCCACGAAAAAATTGAACATTGCAATGTCAAAAAATATAATTACGCACCTGAGATACTTTTTCAGGTGTTAATTCTTGTTGATTCTTGTTGTTCTGATTTTGCTCCTCTGTTTTCACTTGTTTATTTTTCATGTTATTTCATGCTTAAAAGAAAGTTCAGATACCGTTATTGTATGCAGGAAAGTAGGCGGGACTTACAGCCCAGCTACAGTAGTCCCTCGCTACTTCGCAGTTCGTTTTGCCCGGACTCGCTCTATCGCGGTTTTTCGAAGTAAGATTGAACGTGACACACTGATTGATGGATGAGCCGCACGATCGGCATTGAAATTTTATTTAAAATACATTAAGGACACAGAACACAGGAACACTTGTTCTGTCAGTATAATATGGCCCTGCTTGAACTAGCTGTTAGCTCGTCAGTTCGGTCAAAATTAAACTCACTCTCCAAACTGAGGTCACTCAAAGAGCAATCTAAAACAGGTAAGATATTTCTAATAACATTATCACACAATACAAAATCAAAAGACGTAACCTTAAAAAAAATGGCGCTGCACATAATTTTTTTGAATCCGTGACAGTTAAACCTTTATCATTGACTTCCCGCTCAGCCACTCACTGTTTTTACAAAAAGGCATCCGTCTACATTAGTAATTCTCCGAGAGCCTGATAATGCATTCAAACAGATAAATCCTTTCTGGGAAGACCGTGAGCATATTGGCTCTCATCTTCATTTGGAGGAGCTTTTGTCAGCAAGACATACATCACAGGCTCGTGCTCGACAGTGATACTCCTTGTTGGTCAGTGTTATATTACTGGCCCTGATAAACTCCCGCTAGAAAATAAAAGCAAGCCCTTCAGGCTAGACAGCAGCCAAATACACAAACACCTCATCCTTATCAGTTGGACAGCTTTTCCCAACAGAGGCATCTGTTTGATTCACCAACACAAGACATGCTATTTTTGGTATTAGTACAGAACAAAGGTGATCTCTGCTTCTCTTTTGCAATATTGTTTTTTTGACCTTGCTAAACGTACCACCATAATGCAAACTGTTTACGGCAATAGCAATAAATATGTCATGCAATGTTCAATTCTGTTTGTTTTTGTACATCTTTACCAGCCCACTATCCTTCTCGGTTTCTGTTTTTGGCTCTTCCCCTCATGTTTTCACTTGTTTTTCCTTTCCTCTGCATCCAATTTTTCAGATCATGAACTGTCAGCTTTGCTGGATCTGCTAAATAAAATGCCTAGCTGAGAGACAAACAGCAAAGGAGAGGAATCAAAATTATTTAACACGTCTTTACGAGGTTCGGATGTGTGCTGAAACTTGATTTGACGTTTTCAAGGTTTGAACAATCCTTGAATCTTAGATAAAATACTTAAACAGTCCTTAAACTAATTAAATGTGTTTCTTAATAAACCATTTCTTTATTTAGTAGTTGTGTTTTAAGTGGACCTGTCACGATAACAAATTTTGCTTTGCGATTAATTGTCTCAGAAATTATTGTGATAAACGATAATATTGTTTGAAATTTGTCAATAATTGGTCATTGTCAAAATTTATAAGAATTGTTGATTTGTTTTGAGTGTAGTATCTTTTTTGGCCACCAGATGGCAGTATAAGACATAACCGAAGGATGGATAGTTGAGCAGCGTGTCTCTTTAAGAAAAATGGGAGGGAGCCCCCTTGACGTGACGTGGGTTGACATTGAGACATGGCGGACCCTCGGTGTGGTTTGAGCTCTTTAGCATAGCATTTTTCACACAAAACTTTTAATTAAAAAAAATCTGTAAACAAGTTCTCAGTTTCTTTTTGCAGAGAAAAACAACTTTTTAC